GTGCTATGGCCTGAGAAAGCAGTAGAAGATGGCTCAAGTCCTTGGGCCCCCTGCACCCGTGAGGGAGACCTGAAGAAGCTCCTGGCTTCTGGGTTTGGATTTGTACAGCTCTGGCCATTGTGGCCAAATAGGGGAGTGAACCAGCAGATGGAAGACTTCTCTCTCTCTGCCTCTCCTTCTCTCTCTGTGTAACTCTGACTTTCAAATGGATGGATAAATCTTAAAAAAAAAGATACAGACTAGCTGAATGTAGTAAAACACAAGATCCATTTTGTCACTACCTGTAATAAACACATCTCGGCTACAGAGATACATACAGACTTTGAAAGTTAAAGGATGGAAAATGATATTCCATGGTAATAAAAAGTAAAAAAGAGAAATATTAGCCATGATAATATCATGCAAAACAGACTTTAAAGCAAAAACTATTAAATAAGAAAAAGAAAGGCATTTTGTATTAATGAAGGGGTCAATCCAACAGAAAGATGTAATTATGGTAAATGTATATGTACCCAACGGCAGGGTGCATGATTGCTTTTCATTTTTTTTAAGATTCATTTATTTATTTGAAAAGCAGAGCTACAGAGAAGCAGAGGCAGAGAGAGAGAGAGAGAGAGAGAGAGAGAGAGGTCTTCCATTTGCTGGTTCACTCTTCAAATAGCCACAGTGGCCAGAGCTGAGCCAATCAGAAGCCAGGAGGCAGGAGCTTCTTCTGGGTCTCCCACATGAAAGCAGGGGCCCAAGGACTTTGGCCATCTTCTACTGCTTTCCCAGGCCACAGCAGAGAGCTGGATCAGAAGTGGAACAGGCTGGTGCCGCAGTTCACTAGGCTAATCCTCTGCCTGTGGTGCCAGCACTCTGGGTTCTAGTCCTGGTTGGGGTGCTGGATTCTGTTCCAGTTTCTCCTCTTCCAGTCCAGCTCTCTTCTGTGGCCCAGAAAGGCAGTGGAGGATGGCCCAGGTCCTTGGACCCTGTACCTACATGGGAGACCAGGAGGAAGCATCTGGCTCCTGGCTTCAGATCGGCGCAGCACATCAGCCGTGGCAGCCATTTGGGGGGTAAACCAATGGAAGGAAGACCTTTCTCTCTGTCTCTCTCACTGTCTAACTCTGCCTGTCAAAAAAAAAAAAAAAAAAAAGTGGAACAGTGAGGTCTCAAACCAGTGCCCATATGGAATGCTTCACCTGCTTTGCCACAGTTCCAGCCCCAGTGCCTGATTATTTAAAACAAAGGTTAATGGATCTTAACAGAAGCATCGACTTCAATACAATAGTAATGGGTGACAGCAATATCATAGTTTCATCAATACACAGGACAACTAGACAAAGAAAAATCAAAGAAGACAGCTAATCTACAGTATGGACCAAAATGACAGAATTGACATATACAGAGCATTTCATCCCATAGTTGCAGAGTACACATTCTTATCATCAGCGCATGGAGCTTTTTCTAGGATAGATCATGTTAGGCCATAAAGCAAATCTCAGCAAATTAAAAGAAAATGAAATCATACCATGTATCTTTTCTGACCACAATGGAATGAATCTGAAAATTAAGAACATAAGAAACTCTAGAAAGTGTGCAAGCACATGGAGTCTGAACAGCCTGCTCCTGAATGAACAGTGGGTCACAGAAGAAATCAAATGTAAATCAAAAAGTTACAGGAAAGAAATGAAAATGACAACATACATATCAAAACTTATGATATACAGCAAAAGAAATTCTGAGAGTTAAGTTTATAGCAATTAGTGCTTACCTCAAAATTGGAAAAGGATCAAACAAATGATCTAACAATCCATTCAAAACCTAGAAAAGCAATAATCCAAATCACAAATTAGTATGAGGAAAGAAATTCTTAAAATTAAAGAAGAAATAAAATTGAAACAAAAAAGAAACAAAATATCAGTGAAATGAAGAGCAATTATTTTTGAAAAAATTGAAATTGATAAACCTATGCCTAACTAATAAAAAAAGAGAGAGTGGAGATGACACATATTAATAAATTCAGAAATATAAAAGGAAATGTTAAACAGACACCACAGAAATAAAATTCACAAGAAATTATGAAAAAAACTTTATGCCAATAAATAGGATAATTTAGAAGAAATGGATAGATTCCTAGATAAGCACAAACTACCAAAAATTAATGCATGAAGGCACTGAAAACCTAAACAAAACAATAACCAAGATGGAGACTGAATAAGAAATAAAGACCCTCCCCACATAGAAAACCCAAGGACTGAGCTCTACCTAACTTCTACAGAAAAACTAATTCTAATTCCTCTCAATCTATTTCAAACAACTGAGATGGAGGAAATTCTCCCAAACTCCTTCTATGAGACCAGCCTAACCTTAATTCGAAGACCAGAAAAACATACAACAAAGAAAGAGAATTATAAACCCGTATCACAGGTGAACAAAATAGGAGTGTTCACTTGGACCAAGTGGTATCTCTAGTATGCAGGAATGGTTCAACATATGCAAATTAACAAAGGTGACACATCATAATAACAAATGGAAGAATGAAAACTGTTTATTTATTCATCCTGAGTGTTGTATTTTATCAAGTGGTTTCTCTGCACCTATTGATATAACCATACAGTTTTTTTTTTAAGTTATTCTTTTTTTTTTAAGCTTTATTTTATTTATTTGAAAGACAGAGTTAGGCCAGTGCTGCAGCTGGCTAGGCTAATCCTCCTCTTGCAGCATTGGCACTCCAGGTTCTAGTCTCAGTTGGGGTGCCGGATATTGTCCCGGTTGCTCCTCTTCCAGTCCAGCCTGCACCTGCATGGGAGGCCAGGAGTAAGCACCTGGCTCCTGACTTCAGATCGGCGCAGTGGTCATTTGGGGAGTGAATCAACAGAAGGAAGACCTTTCTCTCTGTCTCTCTCTCACTGTATAACTCTGGCTGTCAAAAAAGAAAAAAAAAAGAGTTGGAGAGAGGTAGAAACAGAGAGATATTCCATCCAATGGTTCACTTACCAGATGGCTGCAATGGCTGAAGCTGTGCCAATCTGTGGCGCAGCAGGTTAAAGCTCTGGCTTGAAGTGCTGGCATCCCATATGGGCACCAGTTCGAGTCCTGGCTGTTACACTTCTGAAGCAGCTCTTGGCTATGGTCTAGGATAGAAGATGGCACAGGTCCTTGGGCCCTGCACCCATGTGGGAGACCCAGAAGCTCCTGGCTCTTGGACAGGAAATGCAAATAAAAACCACAATGACATTACACCTTAGCAGAGTTAGAATGGCTCTCATAAAAAAAAAAAAAATATGAAGCAATAAATGCTGGTGAGGATGCAGGGGGAAGAATTCCCTAGTACACTTTTGGTGGGAATGTAAACTAGTGCAACCTTTACTAGAGGCAGTATAGAGATTCCTCTGAAATCTGACAGTATATCTGAATATAACCTAGCCATTCCACACTGTGAATGTACCTAAAAGAAGTTAAATTGGCATATTAAAGCTATCTGTATGCCCATGTTTATTACAGCTCAAATCATAATAACTAAGATATGGAATCAACCCAGATGTCAATCAAGTAATGACTGGATAAAAAAAAATATAGTATCTATGCACTATGAATACTACTCAGCCACAACAAAGAATGCAGTTCTGTCTTTTGCAATAAAATGGATGCAGCTGGAATCCACCATGTTTAGTGAAATAAGTGAGTCTCAAAAATACAAACATTGTATGTTTCCTTGATATATGTTACTAATATACAGAGTATAAAAATGTGTATGAGCAAAATTTACATTTTGAGATTATTGTTTATAACATTTTCTTTACTCTTTGAAGAACAGTGGTTTTCTTCTACTTTCTATTTGTTGAATCCTTCACTTTGTGGAGGGTGAAACATGATTGTAACATAAACTTAAAGTATGTCTTGTAAAAATTAAAAGTAAAATCATAATAAAGGAGGGAGAAGGTTTGGAGCCTGGGCAGGAGAGGGGGTAGGGTAGGAAGTATCACTATGTTCCTAAATTTGAATATATAAAACACATGAAATTTGTTCACCTTATATAAATAAAAAATTGAAAATAAATAAATAAAAGCTATAAAGAGAACAACTCAATTTCAAAAGCACCAAAGGTAATAAAATACTTAGGAATAAACTTAACTTAGGAAATAAAATACCTAAACATTGAAAACTATAAAGGATTACTGAAATGAATTAAAGATCACACAAATAAATGTATATATATACTCTGTCCATGGATTATAAAATATATATAATAAATCAATGTTCCTAGTGATCTACAGATTCAAAACATTCTTCATAATATCCCAATAGTTATTTTTAGTCAAAAATTTAAAAAACTATACAGGAAATTAACATGGAATGTCAAAGTATTTAAATACCCAAATATTCTTGAACATAAGATCAAAGTTAAAGGCCTCACATTCTCTTAATTCAAAAACAAATATAATCTAAACAGTGTGATATTTGAACAAAACCAGACATACAGGCACAGATTTGGTCTGGGTAAGATACCTGCATTGCATACTACAGTGTTTATGTTCAACTCTCACCTCTGGTTTCGGAATCCAGCTTCCTGCCAATGGAAAATATGGGAGGCTGTGGTGATGGGACATGTAACTGGGACCCTGTCACCCACATTGGAGGCCAGGATTTTGTTTCCAGTCAAGACCTGTCATTGCAGACATATGCAGAGTGAACCAGAAGATAGGGGTTCTATCTTTCTCTGCCTCTCAAATTAAAAAATAAAAATATTAAGTGTAAATATTTAATGTAATAATCAGAAAATCAAGATTTGATAACCTCATCGATAGAGAAAAAAATTGACTAAATTCAATTTATGATTAAAACCCTAAATAAACTATTAATTGAGGAGAATTTCCACCACAGGAAGGGCACCCATGGGAAATTCACAATAAACTCTTATAAAATGGGAATAAGACTGCTACTTTTAACACTTCTATTCAACAGTGTAGTGGATAATTCTACTAAAAAAATGAACAAAGCAAAAGACTCCAGAATGCAAAGAAAAGAGCAAAGTTGACTTGATTTATTCAACACATAGTCTTGTATATAAAATATACCCTGAGGAAGTCACTAAACACCCACTCTGGCTGGCGCCGCAGCTCACTAGGCTAATCCTCCACGAGCGGTGCTGGCACCCTGGGTTCTAGTCCCTGTTGGGGCGCCAAATTCTGTCCCGGTTGCTCCTCTTCCAGTCCAGCTCTCTGCTGTGGCCCGGGAGTGCAGTGGAGGATGGCCCAGGTCCTTGGGCCCTGCACCTGCATGAGAGACAAGGAGGAGGCACCTGGCTACTGGCTTCGGATCAGTGCAGCGACAGCCACAACTCGCCAGCCATAGCGGCCACTTTGGGGGGGGGTGAACCAATGGAAAAAGGAAGACCTTTCTCTCTGTCTCTCTCTCTCTCACTGTTTAACTCTGCCTGTCCAAAAAAAAAAAAAAAAAAAAACCTCCCACTCCAAAAATACAGTAAAATTAAATTCAGTATTTTTGCAGAATATAAAAATATGAGTATCAAATATATTGTTTAACAGTGATGATCATTCTAAAAATATAATTAACAATAACATTCAAGATAGCATCAAAGAGTAAAATACTACAAGAAATTTAAGAAAAAACTGAATTTTATACTAAAAAATTACAAAAATAACATACAATTTTTAAATGATGCATTGATTTCAGTAAGAGATTTTAATATTGCAAAAATATATGCTTCCGGGGCTGGTGTTGTGGCGTAGCAGGTTAAAACACTGGCCTGAAGTGCCAGCACCCTATATGGGCATGGGTTCTAGTCCTAGCTGCTTCATTTCTTATCTAGCTCTCTGCAATGGCCTGGAATAGCAGTGGAAGATGGCCCAAGTCCTTGGGCCCCTGCACCCATGTAGGAGACCTGGAGGAAGCTCCTGGCTCCTGCTTTGGATCAGCACAGCTCTGGCCATTGCAGCCATCTGGGGAGTAAACCAGTGGATGGAGGACCTCTCTCTTTGTCTCTACCTCTCTCTGTAACTCTGTCTTTGAAATGAGTAAAATAAATCTTTTAAAATATATGCTTGGGGGCCAATGCAGTGGCTCACTTAGTTAAACCCCCACCTGCGGTGCCAGCATCCCATTGGGTGCTGGGTTCTAGTCCCAGTTGTTCCTCTTCCAGTCCAGCTCTCTGCCATGGCCCGCGAAGGCAGTGGAGGATGGCCCAGGTGCTTGATGCCTGCACCCGCATGGGAGACCAGGAGAAAGCATCTGGCTCCTGGCTTTGGATCGGTGCAGTGCACCAGCCATGGTGGCCATTTGGGGGGTGAACCAATGGAAGGAAGACCTTTCTCTCTGTCTCTCTCTCTCACTGTCTAATGCTGCCTGTCAAAAAAAAAAAAAAAAAAAAAGAAGAAGAAGAAAATTCTCTTTCTCTCTCTGCCTCTCCCTCTCTCTGTGTGTAACTCTGATTTTCAAATAAATAAATAAATCTTAAAAATAAAAATATATGCTTAATATAAATCATTGTGGAAATGTAAATCAAAACCTCAGGGAGATAGCACTTCATAGTAAGTCAAATGACTCTGATACACTATAGATAAATTTTGACATGGATGTGGAGAACAGGGAACCCTCATACATTTCCAGTAAAATATTGCAGCCACTGTGAAAATAATTTGGCAGTTTCCAAGCAATTTCTACATGGGATTATTTATTGCTTCAGCAGTTTCTCTGCCAGGTATTCCACTAAGACACAATCCACAGGCATATGAATACTGAAGCAATATTTATGAAACCAAGTGTGAAAGCAACCCAAATAGTGATATGTAAAGAAAGCAATGTTCAGTATATCTTTTATAATGCTATACTATTTGACAATCAAATTTAATTAAGAAATGATAGATCACAAAATAATGAAATTCAAAAGACAGAAAAAGAGAAGAAACTTAAAGCCATCCCCATATACTCTAACATTTCCCATTATGACATGTCCACGAAAGGTCAGTCTCTGGAGATAGTTTAGATTAATGCCTGTTCTGGGGCTGATGGTTAATGAGGAGTGCTGTAAATAATATGAAGCATTTGGGATTAATGGAAATGTGTTTATATTAGAATGTGCTTATGGTCTGGTGCTGCGGCTCAATAGGCTAATCCTCCACCTGTGGTGCCGGCACACCGGGTTCTAGTCCCGGTCGGGGTGCTGGATTCTGTCCTGGTTGCTCCTCTTCCAGGCCAGGTCTCTGCTGTGGCTTGGGAGTGCAATGGAGGATGGCCCAAGTGCCTGGGCCCTGCACCCACATGGGAGACCAGGAGAAGCACCTGACTCCTGGCTTCGGAACAGCACGGTGCGCTGGCTGCAGTGGCCATTGTGGGGGGTAGGGGGTGAACCAACGGAAAAGGAAGACCTTTCTCTCTGTATCTCTTTCTCTCACTGTCTGCCTGTCCAAAAAAAAAAAAAAAGAATGTGCTTATGATTACATAACTTGCAACACAGCACAAAGCATAGTATATTCACTGAAAATATGAGACAGGACTGGGCAGACCGAGTTTGAGCTTCACAGAAGAAAATAAGATGAACAAATATGAGGGGGTTTCACATATTTTCTGGAACATGAAATTAAAATATGCTCATTTTGGTTCAAAAATATTTAAACCCATAAATACAAAGGCCTTACAATTCATGGACGCTGTTTAGCATGAAAAAACTATGCATGTTTTTCAATAAAATTTTGCACCAAAATTAACCTGCAATTTAATTCCATATTTCTTGTGACATTGTCCTAATTAAAATTAATTCCATATACACTTAAAGAAATACTTCATTTTTCTTATATGAAACAATTTAAAAGTTGTACTAATCATCAATTTAAGGTAAAGTACTGCCTCCTAATCACTCCATTTAGAATGACAATATGCCAATTCATGGGGCCAGTGCCGTGGCGCACTGGGTTAAAGCCCTGGCCTGAATACCAGCATCCCATATGGGCGCCAGTTCTAGTTCTGCCTGCTGCTCTTCCAATAGAGCTCTCTGCTATGGCCTGGGAAAGCAGAAGATGGCCCAAGTCCTTGGACCCTTGCACCCATGTGGGAGACCCGGAAGAAACTCCTGGCTTCGGATCAGCTCAGCTCTGTCCATTACGACCATCTGAGGAGTGAACCAGCAGAGGGAAGACCTCTCTCTCTCTCTCTCTCTCTCTCTCTCTCTGCCTCTCTCTATAACTCTGTCTTTCAAATAAATACAATAAACCTTTAAAAAAACGCCAATTCACATATTTCTAGATTGTGTTTGTATTAATAAACTGCTTCCAAATATCATAATTTTAGTTGTGATACTAATTTAAGCATTTTAACACTCCTTAATGTTATACACCAAGAATGATGTTTTGAGTTTATTTTGTTCACAATAATTATACATACCTATATCTGCAGTGTGAGATTTTAATTCATGTATACAATGTGTACTGAATAAATCGGAGTAACCAACATTTTCCCTTCTCTGACAATATACTTCAAAATCAGGGCCTTGGAGCACCTTTCCTCTTCTTTTCATAAAATATGAGATAGATTACTGTGGACTATAGTCACCCACAATGTTATGTAACACAACAAACTCACTATTATCTAACTCTGATTTGGTACCAATTACTCCAGGAAGTTTTTAAAGAATTTCTTAATTAATTAGTTTCAAAGAAAAAGAGACACACAGAGAAACAAACACAGAGAGAGAGAGGAAGAGGGAGAGGAAGAGAGAGAGAGAAGACATTCCCATCCATTGACTCACTTCACAAATGTCTACAACTGTGGCTTTGCCAGACTTTCATAATTTAGGTATGACACGAAATGCACAGGTGACAAAAGCAAAAATAAGGAAGTAGGACTGCAAAAAAGTAAAAAAAAAACAACTCTGCATACTAAAGGAAAAGCTGAAAAGTGAAAGCAAGGAATGAGAGAAAATACTAGCAAATCATAACTGATTAAGGGATTAATATAAAGAATGGACTCAATTCAAAAGGAAATATCATAATAAAAAATGGGCCAAGGATCTGATCATTTTTTCCATAAGCAGCTAACAGGCATTTGAAAAGGGGCTCAGCACTGCTAATCAAGACCACAATGGTTATGACCTCACATATGTAAAAATAGCTATTATAAAAAAGTAAAAAACATAAATATTGAATCAGCATTGGAAAAAAGGGAACATATAAATTGTTTATAGAAATGAAAATTAGTACATCCACTATGGAAAACACTATGGAGGTGTCTCAAATAAAATTAAAAATGGAACAAATGATAAAGAATTCCCACTACTGGATGTACATCTAAAGAAATAAAATTACTATCTCAAAGATACATCTGCACAACCATGTTTATGTGAGCATTATTCACAAGAACAAGATATATAAATATACATTGTCCATCAACAGATGAATAGAGAAAATGCCATACACACACAATGGAATCACATTTAGCCTTAACAAGAAAATTCTGATATTTTGTCACAATCTAGATTGAAAAGTATAAATATGGACATTAGGCTGATTGAAATGTCACAGAAAGATAAATACCATACAATCTCCCTTATTTATGGAATCTCAGAAAGTCAAACTTGAGAATAGTGGTTGCTAGGTGCTGAGAGTGAAGGAAATGAGAAGATGTTAGTTGAGTGACACACATTTACAGTTAGGAGATAATGTACAGCTTAGAAATGTTATGAATATATGATTAGATACTCACAACTTGTTAAGGTATTAGGTTTTCTTTAAAAACTATGTAAGGTGATGGATATGTTAGTTTGATTGTCCTAATCATTTCAGAATGTATATGTACAAGGGAACTCCGAAAGGTTTGTGATAAACAGGATTAAATAGTGAAATTTTCATAAATTTTTTAAAAAGTCTCTTCACATGTCAAAACATCAAGTTGCAGACCTTGAATATATACAAATTTTGTTTGTCAATTATACTCCAACAACTTTGAAAATAATCACCCTACATCAAAATAAAAATTAAAACTAACTTAAGAAACTAGGTTTATATCTTTGGAGTTGTGAAGGCTGTCATGGAACAGAAACAGTTTTTAAAACATTTATAAATGTGACTAGCTAAAATTTCTTATTTGAAAGTTCAGAGACAGATGACAGCCTGTAAAAGGAACATGTAAAGGTTAGATGGCATCCAAGACCAAAATACAGGTCCTCTGATCCCTCTAAAACCTAGACCAAAACCCTATCAAAATAAAACTGTTTTATTAACTTACCTGGTCTATGACACTGTTATTACCAACAGAAAACGTG